GCTCTAAATCTTACTTCTTTCACCTTTCGTTCAAATCAGCTTCAACGAAACAGTTCGAAATAGTTTAAAATCTCGAGGTTTAGGTATTTTCCTAACTTCCTTGTTTTCTATGACTCAAAATCTTTCAGAATTATTTCTTGTGTATTCTGCTACATCTTTTTCTTGAGCTTTTATCTGTATATAATACCCGCGAAAGTGTCATGTAAGCGTCTATTTTGATTTTTGCACCTTGTCAATGAGACTATAGTTGAACCTCTAGCGCTCCACTATGTTGGTGGAATTCATCTGAATTAACTATGCAATGTAGGATCTTTACCATGACAATTGATTGATCTAAATGAACTTCCACGAGGTTGCATTTTGAGAAAATCTAAATTTGTAAGTCTGGGGAACCTTCTATAACTGGCCGATTCATGGCAGGAACTACCGTAATCAACAGGTACCGTAACCTAGAGTGGCGTGCGAATACTAAATTTCAATGAACAGTTAAGTCGGATACTGTGCTCTGATACAAAAGGGAATATGCACCAGCAATAATACTCAAAAAAATAGCCAAGAATTCCCCAGCTCTTTACCGTGTGTAAGAAGGTCCCGCAAATTTTATATGCTTGATATCGCTGGACCAAAATCATTTTCGCCCAATCTCAAAACTACAAGTATCCCCTTTCTGCCCGCGTTTCCGAAAAAATGCCTACATTGTTTAGCGACAAACCTCTGTCAACTGTCGAAGAGCGTGTCTGAGTAACTCAAAGCATGCCGCTATATATTTGAAACTCATCGGAATTCATGCATGCCAGAATAAGTTTCCAGCAAAATTCACAATTTATCTCACCAGGATCCAGACAAATGAGTCTTTGTAAAGGTTGAAAGGTCTGGAAGATAAAGATCCTAACCTCTGTAAAAAATTCCACCGCAGTCATTCACAAAGAAACTTTATGACTTAACAAGCGCTCCACTTTCAAGGTAAAATACTTCCATATAAAAGTCTCTTTGTGCTCATTACAACTCACTACTGTAGCACCTCCTTTGTTTCCTCGCCTATCTGAAAATATTAGGTCAGTCCGAAAGTTCGCGCTGTTAATGGTTATGTTCTTATTTAGATTCCTTCAGTGTCCGCTCAGTAATCGGCAGGGCTCTCCAACCATGATTTTCACACATCTTCAGTTTGGCTATTTTTTGAATTTTCCATTTTCAACTTTTGGACTAGCTTCGATAACATTTGGATAGAATAAACAAAATGCAATATAATACATTTTTTTTGGCATTTCTAGCTGGCTTCTCAAAATTTTTGAAAATATTTTTCTGATGCTATCAAATTCCATCTTTGGGCATCTCCATCCTCACAGAACAATAAACGACTAGCAACCAAAGTGTCATTCGATGCAGCTTTTTCTTCTTTTTCTGATAAACTTCTTTTCTTTCTGGCTTGTCCAATATTTGAGGATCAAATCACCATAATTTTTGTTTTCGGTCGCACCCCAGGCTGTACTCAGAAAATTCGGAATTCACTATTTCGAGCCGCTAAACGCTCAGTTACTTACTAATACTAGTGCTAAGTCATAATCTCTCTTTGGAAGCTTGAATTCTGAAGTTTTGTCAGTGTTTGAAGCAATTGTGTAATTCGCGACTTCGCAAAATCAATGGATTTTGGAAAAATTATCTTAAAGAATACTGGAGAGTTAGTTGATGAAGCCAAAATAGTTCATTGTATTGCATTTTGTTTATTCTGCCCAGCGGTTATCAAAGCTAGTCCAAAAGTTAGAAGTGGGAATTTTAAAAAATAGCCAAACTGGAGACAGGTGAAAATCATGGATTGGAGGTCCCTGCCAATTACTGAGTGGACATTAGGGATTCTGAAAACAAAAAGATAACCACTAGAAAGTGGATAAAATTCTACATGGGATAGTGCTCACAGCGTTTTTCTATCTTCATTCTAAGTGGTTTGAGCATAGCTCTGAAAAACAGCGCGAACTTTCGGACCGACCTAATACATTCGTTATGAAAAAGCTTTTTTGGACAGTTTCGGTGAAACTCTTGCCCTGTCAGCGAAGTTGTGTTACTGTATCAAGTACATATAGTACTGAAGAGATTTGGTGTTCAAATAACAAATCAAACGGCCAGCATTATTGAATGTCTAGGCAAGGACACATACCTTTTTCGCTTAATTGGGCTTATCCGCTACGCCGAAATCGAAAACCACATTGAAGAGCGCGAAAGCGACGGGAGTAGGCTAAATTAGTGACAAATATTAAGTTTGCTAAAGTTAGATTTCCTTCTAAAACGTAGAAACTTCTAGAGCCTCCTACTTATCCAATTTCTATTAGGTTGTAACATAACTCTTAAGACACTCTCCCTTCTTACGGCGATAAGTCATACAGTTCACATTTTCGATAGGGGTCTAGGATCCCATTCGATAGAGCAAAGCAAGCTCTATAAGATAGTTTGCAAAGGTTTGCACCAACTTCGACCCACTGTAAGTGTGAATGCAAACTCTGAATCGTACTGAAGAATGAAAAAATGGCGAAAAATTCATATCTTTGTTCAAAAAAATCCTACGAATCTCCAACTTGATCAAGAAGTTTGCATACTACGTCAGACACTCATACGCACCATTCCTGGATTTCTTCCTTATTCAGAAACCGAGAAAACGAAAACTTTCATGTTCACACAAAAACCAAGCTATGATGATTCCACGCATGCAATTGTATACTACAAGCCCTTAAGAGTACAACCGCAGATTTTCAGTTTCAAACCGGCCCCAGTTTTCGAGAAATATTGATTTTAGCATGGAACACCCGAGTGAGAAGAGCTAAATTCGGTAAATTTCGAAAACTAGGTCTTGTGGAAGACTGAAAATATACGGTCATACTCCTAAGGGCTTGTTGTATACAGTTACATGAGTGAAAATAGCATAGCTTCGTTTTTGTATGAACCTGAAAATTTTCGTTTTCTCGATTTCTAAGTGGGGCAAAATTTCCGGAAACTGTACTTATGAATGTCTGATGTAGTGTGCAATTTTTATGAGCAGGTTGGAGAGTGGTAGGGTTTTTTTGAACAAAGATATGAATTTTTCGCGATTTTTTCAGCCTTTGACTCAGATTTTGGATGCAAACTCACAGTGGGTTGAAGCTGGTGCAAACTTTTGCACACCATCTTGTAGAGCTTGCTTTGCTCTATCGAATGTTGTCCTGGACCCCTATCGAAAATGTGAACTGTGTGACATATCGCCGTAAGAAGCGAGTGTCTCAAAACTTATGTTACAACCTAATATTTCTCAGTAGTTTCTTATGTCTACAAGCTTGAAAACATGCTGATATAGCAGTGTCTTTCCTTCTATTTGGTTCAATATTCGAGAGCAGTATGGTATTCTTTCATAAAGTTATCTGCAAATAATAGTCATCTTTACCATTGTCGCAAAGAAACTTACTCCAGCCATTCACTGCGTAAAATAACACATTGGATCTTGTGCAGCGAAAGCACTGAACCTTTGTTTTGTCTGCCAGCTTTCTTCCAAAGGCTGTCAACTTGACGCTCATCTTGACATTCGTCTTCTAAACTACTGCTGTTTCCCTTCCACGATTTCGTCTGTTATTTTTCTTCTAAACAGGGAAGGATCCTTGGTCGAAGTAGCCTTTCAGATGTGCTGCAAATATTCTTGAAGTGCATCAAACACTGATTCCAAATCTGTCTTCTTTATTTGCGGAGCACCTCTGAATGAGGAGAAATAAGCGTTAAGAGCTAAGAAACTGAACGCGCGGCGAGGTAAAATTGACTGTAACACACTGTACAACCCAGGATGGACTAGTGTAGAGTATGGGTATAGCAGACAGAAATTATTCTTTGCACAGAAATGATTTAACAGACAATGTGCCTCTCCATTCAAGCTCATGGGGAATCCCCATGATGATTTCCTTCTTCCTAAGCCTTCAGATTTCCGGCCCAGAAACTTCCACAACTCCTTGCTTGAAGGCGCTCCGCAGATGGGGAGGACACATTAGGAATCAGCGTTTCATGCCCTTCAAGAATATATGCATCACATCTGAAAAGACCACTTCGATCAAGGATCCTTCCCTGTTAAGCCGAAGCTCACAGAGCGCAAGACACTTGCCCGCAATGCTAGACAATTCACCAGCTAAGTCATAACAAAGCTATACAATAATGCCTATGGACTGTTAGTACAGTTTTCACGCACTATTGATGCAAAAACATTGTGGAAGAAACAAGAGCATCTTTTATCAATGGCCACTTTCTTGGGGCGGATGGTCATTCGCTACCTTTCTGGATAAGCACAGACTGAACACATCTCCAAGTGTATACAGTTTCAGTCAAAGCATGGAGTCGCAGCAGATATGCTCTGTTTTCTGATAATTTATTTTAGAGATGCTTCTGCAAAGTTACTTATCGCGCTTTGTCTTCCTATTTCTAAGTTATGGAGAGCATTTCGTTTTCACATATTTTGACTTTTCCGGTAGGGGTGCACTACACCGTTTACATAAAAAAATAAGTGACATTACCAAGTGCGTTTTTTTTTAATTCAAACTGTAGATAGCCAAACAGCTGTGCTTGCTAATATCCTAATTTCTTATATTCAAAAATTTTCACATTGCCTTAAAGAAGTGCTTCAAAGGCTTGCATAATTCGTGAAGCGCCTGCAGCTCAGTGCAATGCATTGTGTTAAACTTCATTATCGAATAATTTTTCGTTTTTGATGGACATCTTTGAAATGTGAATGATAATCAAACGAAAATGACTCTGTCATTTTGCTTTCATTTCTTTTGTCCATCGAAAGAGAATTTATGAAAGGTATGACGTAAATGTGTTCATGCATGGTAATCCCATGTCGCGCGTTGATGTAGTTATAATTACCGCAACCCACTATTATATAAAGATGTAGGTAAACCCATTATGGTGTGACCTGGTTCGCACCTTCGTTTTTTTCCAGTTCAATTTAACACCAGCCTCCTTACCTGAGTGCTTTTGGCACTCTTGGGTTTATCAGCATGAAGAGCGTCTTTATATGCTTTACAGGTAGGGTTCATTTTGGTGAATTTTCCTTACCATTTTGATTCAAGTCCCTTTTCAGCATTTGTACTCATTGAATGTGACACTAGTCCAAATAGAGTAGTGAGCTTTCCATGGATGGAAAATCTTGTGCGATTACCATTTCCAAACTTGGACAACTCGACAGACGTTGACGATGCTTTGGCAAAGTATCCACCAGCACTCAGACCCTTCATCAATGCTACTGCCATCAATGCAAGGAAGCACAAGAATAGCACTGAGGTCGGACATTTCCCAACTTTATAATAGCGATAATGTGACAATTTCATCAGCGGTTGTTTCTGATATTATAAATATTACGTCATTCCGAAAGTAATTTCGCTTTTTTCAAACGGACGCCACAAGTGATGGAACAAAGATTCTTGAAAGATCTTGGAAGCATTCGATGCAGAATTTCATTTTCTTCCTAATGGTTAGAATTATTGCAGCACATTCAATGAGCTTTTGAAAATTACGGAAGTCTCCGATCCATGTTTTTTGAGATGCTCAAGTTTCACAATTTTTCTAAATTTGTACATCAATCCTCCGAAGGAGTCCAAGTAACGATTCGATAGAGCAAACCCTACAGGATACAAAATCATTTTTTTCTCCTTCACATAACTCCTCAAAATTTTCTAATAGAATTTTGATTGATGCTAGCAATTTCTATTCTTGGTCAACTCAAACATCGTAGAACATCAAACGGTGAGCAGCTCGAGTGTCATTCGATGTAGCTTGTTCTCCTCTTTCTAACAGATGCTTTTTGTTTCCCCTTCTTGGAGTTTTCGCGTATAAAAACATCATAATTCGTATTTTCGAACGCGTTCCGGGCTGGACCCGCAAAAATCGAAATTAGATATTTCGATTCCGTAAACTCTTATTCGCTTTGCAAAATTAGTGTTAAGTCATAATACCATCTTGAAAGTTTTAAATTCCGGAGGTTTACTGGTGTTTGATGCGAATGTGGCTGACGTAGGCCTGTCAAAATTTGATTGTTTCAATAATAAAACTTTTGAGAGATTATGGCGCGATATAAAAACGAGAAGAAAGTTACGCATATCCTATGAGGTTTGCTCTATCGGATCGTTACTTGGATTCCTTCGGAGGGTTGATGTAAAAATTTAGAAAAATTGTGACATTTGAGCCTATCAAAAAGCATGGATCGCAGAGCTTTCGTAATTTTTCAAAAGCTCATTGACTGCGCGGCAATAATTTTAAAACCTTTAAAAAGAGGATGAAATTCTGCATCAAATGCTGCCAAGATCTCTCAAAAATTTTTGTTCCTTTACTTGTGGCGTCCATTTGAAGAAAGCGAAATTACTTTCGGAATGACCTAATATTTATCTCACTTTCATCTCCTTTTTCCGCGAGGTTTCAAAATCCTCCGAAATGCCTTTTGTTAAAATATAAGGAAGATGAAGTACTACTTTTGTTGCAAATCTTACCTTAAAGAAAAGGCCTCAGCCAATTGCACAATACTTCAGCCAGAGCACCACAATTTTTACTTTCTTTTTTTCCATTACGAAAAACTCTTTTCCTCTGTAACTCTAATTCAAGCAAGTAAGCAGACAGAGGTTCGAGCGTTTTGCAACGCCGACGCCCAGTAAAAAATCAAGAGAACTGTCAAAGTTTACCAAACATTGAGAACGTGGCTGTCTTGCAGAACTTGAAAGGGAATCTCCGAATGACTCCGAAAACAAGAAAAATTATAAAAAGTCTGTAAATTAATTTTTCACTTTGGCAAAAAAATTTCAAGGGTATTTCGAAAAATGATGACTACATTTGTATCTTTATACGTGTAGATAACCATCTGACTTTATTATCGGAAACTAATTCAAGCATGAAGCTATGAACTGCTACATTTCCTCTCACATCGATTGATAGAATTACAAGAATTGACCTATTACTTATGCAATTTTTCTTTCTTAAAGGATGAAGTGATAACCGATGAAGACATAGCAGACATCCAAGATGAGGACGAGCACTCTAAAGTGAACACTGCTCACTTTGACGGAAAGAAAACTACAATCACCATATCCACCGATGCGGGTTTGAAACTCTATCAACACTGGCTCGATCAAGCCATTTCTGGGCTGATGGCTGCTGTGGCCACGAAGAAGTGAATAATTACATTTCTATCACCTAGTTCCATACATTAGCGATATTTAGGCTAGAAAGTGTGCCCGAGTATCTGCGAGCAGCTCATCACACTTGTGCAAAAGGTGCCACAACAGTGCAAGCCCATGCAAAATGTGTGGTGACGCTTCTTGACGCGGAAGTCAAATATCAGAAATGGAACGAAAGATATGGAAACGCTAAACGAATAAGTGAGTTCAAATTCTTGTTAACACTCCTTATGCTGTTTTCTTTAGGTAGGATGCGACACAATTATGATGCGAAAGCAGCAATGATGAAACGAAATAGGGAAAGACTTCGGTACAAGCAGAAGCAGTTCTTTGCCCAAGAAGAACTCAGAAGAAAAGTTTTGAAAACAAAGTTTCAGCAGCGCATGTATGCAAACTCTCAAACAAGCAAAACAATGGATTTCAAGAAGGTAAATTACAAATTGCTTACTTTCAACATGTAGTGTAAAAGCTTCTTTCTTCATTCTTCTGACTAAACCTGAAAATGTTTCCTATAAATAGTTTTTTGCTTGTAATAAATCGAGAATATTTTTCATGCTCCCAAAGAAATCCAAGAGTATTTCAGTCTCAAAATTTGCGTTTCTTTCACTCCAATTATCAGTAGTTATTTCCAACAATTATTTTGAGCTAGATCACGAGCTTGACACTAATGAAAAGCTTTCATGAAAGCAAAAATGTGACGTTCATTAACGTATCAACGAAGTTTTTCAGGTATACGGCCCGCAGCCAAAAGAGTATTTCCCAAACGAAGATGGTTGGGTTGGCTCCTTCAAGATGCGAGCGAAACGCTCTGTTGAGAAGTTCGCTGAAAACCGGAAACGTATGGCTGTAAAACCAACTGTGAAGAAAAAGTACAACCTTTTAGACGGTTTGTTGAGTTTGAAAATTTTACCTGTTGAGCGATCTTTCATTAAATTCCACAATTATCAACACTCAAACACTTACTACAGAATGAAATCCAGCAGCAAACACTTTATAGTTGAAAAGAAATGTGTGATGCATGCAGCTAATATTTCTAAAATCCGGAACTCCATTTCTACAAAACTTTACAGCTGCTGGAAATCAGGACGCTCAAATGTAAATTGCAGACAACTGCATAATGAAGTAATTTTTTTACTACTACTAAAACTTTTGAAATTTGACATAATGGGAAAATTGTTTCTGAATTACTACTATGTGATTTCCTCGTCATTCCTTTTCTACGTTTAGAACGTTTTTGATCACTTTTCCTAACCAATGCATGATTGAAAGAGGTTTTGTTCGCTCTAATAGAAAGTTCCAGTGAAACTCGATTTCAAGAGGAAACGGTTGGCACAGCTAGTTGAACCGTAGCAATTCAGTTTCTCGACAGGTTATAAGGAAATTTACAAAGTGATTTGAGCATGATTTTTCTCACTGCTTCGGTTATTCAGTATGGAGTGAATCTAAAGATTTTCAGTACATTGTAATTCTCCTTAGTTTTCCTCCACGAATTATTTCGCTAATAGTCTTACAGACATTACTTGTAAACTTCTACTTATTCATCTCGGGGTACGTAATTCGATTATTTATAAGGTGCCATTACGAGAATTTTTCTACTTTCAAAGTAGATTAGCGGGTTTCTCCTTTTCATGGGATTTGGGCCTTACAATCAGTCCTAGAGCTAAATTGTAGAATTCTTGATTTAGGCTCAAATACTTCTCCTCTTGCACTGCTTGCGAAGAAATTAGTGCACACTGTACGCAGCTTCAAAAGCAAAGACAAAGAATATAAAAGGTAAGGTACACGATCTTCCATTTCTATCATTAAAATCATTGATATCTGATATAGTTGGCAGGAAGTAGTCAGTGAAATAAAGGAAGAAGGCAGAAAACTGAAGCAGAAGCAAAAGGTGAAAAAAATGTTGGAGCAACGATTCGAACTTTTCAATGAAGCACTTCGTGATGAAGGAATGAATAAAGCGATGATCAAAGTAGATAATCCTGATTTTAATCTGGGAAAATGAACTTATGATTTTCTCTTCAGAAACTTGATGTATTTGGTGACGATAAGGATGATGAAGAGATGGAGACGCTCATGCGGAAAGCGAAGAAGCAAGAGCAAACGTTGAGCAAAGAGGACAAAATGATGCAGGCGCCTGTGAAGCTTGTTCGTGAAGGTATTGCTGTCTGCCGTACTTTGAGTCTGACTCTCTTTTATCATTTGAAATTGATTTGTTATTCATATTCAGAGAAGAAACAAAAGCTGCACTATGCTTGGAAATACTATTTGTTGAAATAAGGCCATTCCCTACATTAGGTCGTCGGATAATTTCTCTTACACTTTTATTTTAATTTCTTGGGAATCTAAGAAACTTTAAAAAAACTTTCACGTGAGCTACATCTTGAACATGAAGAACAATTTTTAAAAATTTACAAATATTATTTCCGACTCCCCTTATGAAATCCCACACAATGCACACAAAAAGAAAAATTTTCGACGATTTTCATTTCTTTTGATACGTTTTTCATTCTTTGTTTTTTGACATGCTAGCGGCACCAAAGTGCCACCAAAAAAGAGACAGTGCGAAAATATGTTTTGAGTTATAGAAGAAAAAAGCATATTTGACGCAGGAAGAACATCAAAGAAAAAATGACATTTTTTGTCGTAAACTTGTTAGCTATCCGTGCATTTCTAAGGCATCAGTCATACGGTTGTGTATGCCCTGCCATGTCCTACATATCGAGCAAATTTGAAATTCTAGAGGGCTTTCGGAATTTTCACAAATAAAGTGTGAAAGAAACCCAATATTCATAGAAAGTTGCAATCTTTCAATGAATCACACATTTATAAAAGCAGATATTGAAGCTAAACAAACTCCAGTATACTTGAAAGTTCAGGTTTGAAATTGGGAATGATGATCACTGGACGGAATGTTTCCAACTTCGACAAACAAAATGTGAAGCTGATCTCGCCTCGCCTACTTTCACTTGTTCCCGAAGGAACAGAAGATGATGTTGTAAGAAATTCAACGCTTAAAATGTACGGAACACTGAACCTATTTCTTTTCAGGTTAATTTGCTTTCTCCTTCGCTCTTTTCCTTGCATAATGAAGGCAAAGGTATTGAAGATGAGCTAAGTTTGGCAAAGGCTTTTAAACTTTTCGATGAACAAGGACATCAGGAATGGTTGAACTTCGTTATTGAAGCTTCAGGAGTTTCCGATGCTCTTTCAAAAATGAAGGTATCACTTGTGTTACAGCCATCATTAGCGCGAGCTAAAACAAACAAACAGGATGCTAATGCAGCGGCCGAAAGGAGACAGTTAGACGAACAATTTCGCAATGACGAAGGTCAACCTCTGTACTTTACCAAGGAGAATGTGACTGAAATGTACGGTCCTAGTGAAAGGAAGAAAATCGACATATTTGAGGAGCTCCAGAAGTCACTGTCAAAGCAGCAGGTACCTTTCAAAGAGATTTTGTACACCTTGGTCGACCACTTGGACATTGACGTCCTCATTTAAAGAGTCTGAATTTAATAAATCCACTGAGTTCAGTGTCGCATTCTAGCAGTGAGTCACTCGTGCTTAGTCAGTTATTCTGAGTTTACCAATGGTAAGATTTTGTGGTTCCGTAGGAAGCCCCATTTAAAAAGTCGGCACTTTTCCGTTATCCGGACCCATTTTTTCAAAGAAAGATATTGCTTCTACCCTTGTACCATATTTTGTCCCAGCTTCACAGGAAGCAGCATCAACCTTCTGCCACGTGTCAAAAAAATTTGACATGTCATCTACATGTTCAACGGGTTTCACCAAGAGTTTGTGCTACCCTACCTAGCGATGTAGTTTCAATCTGCTTTTTAGTTGATTCCGACCTCATTTCGATCAAACAGTTTCAAAATGAACACTTTCATAATAATGACGATGTACTATTATCGATCAACAGTTTGGCTTGCTCAGAATAGAGAAATTGCTAGGATTTCGTCATTTGAAAGGCGAAATGAGCAGCAGCAAAGTACTTTGAGCTATCATTTATAGCCTTTTCTGGCCAAATTTGCATGGTAAAAAGGTTTGAAGAGAAAGACATTTTTGATCACTACTGAAAGCAAGCAAGATCTTCTAAAATAAGTTCATGATTGTCTTGCTCTTATGTAAAACAGTCGAACAGCTTCAAAATGATCACTACTCTTTTATCTCACCGAAAATGATTTCGAAAAATACATGTCAAAATGAACCAAAACGTGTCAGTTTTTTCGTGACACGTGGCAAGGAGGCAGCCATCTTAGAATCTATGAAAAATTATTCTTAGACTAAAAAACGTATAGTACGAGAGGCTTTTGAAAAATTGGGTTCGGATGACGGAAAAGTACCAACAAATCTAACAAAAGCTATCCTCCAGTAAACTTAAGCAGGTCATTAGTGTGGTCCACATATTCCAGCAAGAATATATTGGAAAGAGATAGTCGTTTGCACTGCAAAGTATGAGGGCAGTTTTGGGGAAGGCATTGCGCCTCCTGGCAACCCCACCTTTCGATATCTCGCTTTGGGATCGACGTGGGTCGCAACACTTCAGTTGCAAGCTCAGCCGCTTGAGCCTCTCATTATGCATAGGCCCGTATGCACGTACATCGCCTTGGGCGAGCGAAGAGGAGCGGAAACGCGTCATATCTTGCTACTCTAGTTATCTGTATTATTCTTTTTCTATTTGTCTTAGGTCTAAGCATACTTCCCGTGATTCCGTCAAATCGCTACATCAACGCAACTTGGCTATTTACCAGATGTCTACAGATTCACCGTGCGCGGGTCTCAAATGCATAGGCACGTTGAGTTGTTGCAAAAGTATAAAGTTTGGCCCAAGCAAAGCGCGCCTACGACCAGTTATGAACAGTCGTTGCAGTGCGATCGCGTAGCAACTGAGACCGCTGAGGTATGCCTTAGGCTCTTCGAAGTATCCTAAGGCTTGAGTATGACAGAACATTGTCATACAAGCGATCTCCAAGGGCTCACCACACTTTTCAAAGTCATTTGTCTTTCTGTACAGTCAAAATGTTGTAAAATTGTACCGAGTATGCACTATGGCACTGCTAATCATGCTTATAGTAGAAATTAGTGAAGTCTCAGGATATAAATCTTTGATGAACCGCTGTTCGAACTGAGGTTCATAAAAAAAACCACAAAATGAATCCATCTGTTTTGTCGGAAACATCCCTGGCAGTGTCACAGTAGATCTTCATTACAACTTGATATTCGAAATTCTGAAAAGATAGATGACTTGGAAAACAAGGGGTGACCTCTTGGGGATCCGAGATCACGCGAAACATTGAAAAGCTCAGATTGTTTGGCAATCTTCTGCCATCTATTACACTCAAGCAACATAAACAGAAAAAGAAGAATACAATATCTGGAGTAACGAAATATGACGCGTCCCCTCTGAGATCCTCTCTCCTTCCCAGCGGTGATGTACGTGCATAAGGGCCTAAGCTCCTTTTGAATCAACGCCTTTCCTTTCATTGTCAGGTCTTTCCAACACTTGGGAGTTAGGTCGGTGGATGCCTAACACAGCCAAGACCTTTGCTTGGATGCTCCGATATTCAAATGTTCGGTGTCACTTCCTACTGCAATTCACTTAGCATAAAAGCAAATAATTCGAACATGTTTTGTAGGTTTGACATGTGCGCGACTGTCTGGCTTATGCTAGATATGTTAAGCGATCTGGCTTCTTTACTGTATATTGTAGAAGAAGCACCAATATTTGACGTTTTTTTACAGCTGGGCCTGCACTAACTTGTTTTTCCATCTGTTCGCCTAAGGATGTAACGAATAATTAAGAGACATAAAAAGCATGGGCGGTGACTTGATGGAGTGCCTACAAAACTGCATCCGATGATGTGTCGATAATCAACTTTTTTGCCACAGATGCTAGATATGAATTCTACTGGGTACGCTGTGATGGACAAACAACAATTGGAGTTGGTTTACGGCCCGAAGTCCCCTTTCAACGACTCATCCACCTACACGAGATTGAAGGACGTACCCTCTTCCGAAGTTCCGCGAGCTGTAGAGAGCACAATCAGGGGTTTAGCACAGGAGAGTGTCGTGTTCAAAGCCCAACGAAAGAATGACATCGTACTTACGCCGTTGGTACTTACTTCGCTGATTCGTGATCCCGTCACGGCTTCGCAGGCGCTCATTCTCTCTCCGGTGGTTATGGTGCCAGTCATCTACTCGCCAGCTATCTTCGGTTCTGTCATCCTCTCACCGTGGGCATTCGTACCTGTGATCATTTCACCTCGTTTACTCTCTCCTGTCGTGATTTCTCCGATTCTGCTATCGACAGCTGTTTTATCGCCGTTAGCCTTGGATCCTTTGATTCTTTCCCCAGGAGCTTTGGTTCCCTTCGTTCTGTCTCCATTTGTTCTAACACCGTTCATCTTATCACCTGTGGTTCTCACGCCTCTGGTCCTCTCTCCGTTTTGTCTCTCGCCCTTCATCATGATCCCAAATGCGTTGTCTCCTTTGATCTTGTCCCCATTCGTGCTCTCGCCTCTCATACTTTCCCCGGTAGCTGTATCAGCGTTCGTGTTAGCTCCGTACGCACTTTCTCCTATTATTGCATCTCCTGGTGCCCTCTTCTCCTCCGTGCTTTCGCCGTCGTGGCTCAGCTGATGCCGTTCATATTCGGTACAAATGATGTCTTCGTCGTTGGTTGGAACCTCCTAAGCAATTTAGCTATGTACAAAAGTAGCCTTTTGGTTAACGGTTGTGTTTATGCAATGAAAAGAAGTATGATGCAATAAATTACCAATGTTTTATCGTTCATTGCGCTTGCACTATTAGGGGAGTCAAATAGATGCATTTTCTCAAAATAAAGAATTTTCCCGCTTTAATATCAATCGAAAAGTCATGTACAAATGCTCTCAAAAAATTGTTTTCATCTTTATCTTCATGAAAAAAATTGAGGACACACGCAAGTAATTAAGTAGATGTATGGAGTACCCTGAAACTCTGGAGATTAAATTAGAATGTGGAATAACAAGGCAAGCGCCGCCTCTGAACCTACTTGTCCTCACACGGTATGCAATAGCATATGAGAGACCAGTAATCTGCGGAGGCGAAACTACCGGCGAATTCGTCCCCTATCCTCTTCACCTTGTCATCATGAAGTAAACATAGAAAACGCCTTATGTGAAAACTTCGCCTTATTATCGAATTTGTTATGTTTGATCAACTAGCACAACTACTGATTGTATAGTTGCTTTCTAATTTGCACTACATAAGTGCTCGTGCGAGAAGGTCCCGGACAGTGTCTGGCGCTTGTTGAAACCAAGCCGTTCTCCAAAGGAAAACCTCTTTGAATTCGCAAGATTTTTGACACACTGACGACAACGTGACCCACATGGTGGGTCATGCAATGACCCACCACGCGGGTCATTGCACTGCCACGTGGGACAATGTGACTCACATGTGGGTCATGGCTTAAACTTTGTTAAGACGGCTATCTTGACATACATTCGTTCAAAAGTCCTCTTTCGCTTGACCCTACAAATTACTTTTGCGTATCTTCTCAAGCTCTTAGATTCACTGTAGGTACACTTTGGGTGACGAATTGCGTGATTTCTACAGATTTTCGGGGCGCTTTGATTCGGATCAGAACTACGCAACCATTAAAAATTTTTTAAGGGCTATAAAAACCCAGTGGAAGGAGCAAAGAACTGCTCAGTGTTTGTTGAAACACTTTGAACTTTTGGAGTGTAGAACAGGGCCCGGCACGAGGTCGGCAAAAGGGGTTTTCGAAAACGAATTCCCCTTTGACCCAAAATTTGTTTACGATTTCCCCTTTGACCCCAAAATTGGTCCCAGTTGTTCTGCAGTGAACACTTTACCCAAAAAAAACATTTATTGGAGAAAAAAAACCAATGAATGCAAAAATAAAGAAAAAAGAGATCAGGACAGAGATCTCGAATGACACCGGCACCTGGGGGGGGGGGGGGGGGAAGCGCGGGGGGAGGGGGAGGGGGGGGGGGGTTTCGTATCATTCATATGCTCACTCACAATATATCACTCACTCACTCACACTCACCCTCATCTTCTAATACTCCACTCTCACCCCCACTTTTGGATTCCACTCTTCTTACTCACTTTCCCCCCTCAAAAATCAAAGAAAAAAAAATCAAGCTAGGGCTTGTGCTTGCATTTTTTGCACCTCATTGAGGACACTGGAGTGAGGCGCACGCGCACTGACTGACGGCGACGAAGCCCACCGCCGCAACAGCAACCAGTGCACCGGCAACGGTTGCGGCGGCGAGCTTCCTCGCCGTCACTCCCCTCCAACTCCGGGTCCTCAATGAGGCGCCCCCTCCCCCCGCGCCCCTCCTCTCCCCCCAGGGATTCCCCCCTTCCCCAACTGCGCGCAGTCCTTACGTAGGTGCCGACGTCCTTGCAGAACGCGTACACTCTCCAAAAGAAAATCTGAATGATTTCGAAAGAAATGTGAACGACGGCATTCATCATAAAATCCATAAATCCGATGGTAGAAAAGTCCATCCACCAGGGTGGGGCAGACTGGTGGAAAGTCGGATTGGCGGAGTTAGTCTTGGAGGATCTTTCCTTGTAATCCCTATCGACGAACTGCGCAAAAGAAGGGGCAGTGAGTAGGAAGAAACACACCGCTGTAAAAGCAGCAGATCGAAGAATAAGAGAGTTGGTAGGAAATTTACCTAACAACAGCCATCTAGGAACGATCTGCAGTTGGACGACTCTTTCATTTGACCGAAATTGTATAGAAGAGTTCTCGAACTGTTCTGCGCGGGCTTCTAAAAAAGACATGCAACTTGAATGGTACATTGGAAGATCACAAACCTTGTTCTTTCTTGTCTTCTTCCTCCTCGGGCATGAGAGCATCTTGAGAGCAAACCATGAGTCCACTCATATCGCGATAAATAGACAGTGCCGTCAAGGGAGCTCGGTGATGAACGGTTCTTTCGGCAAATGCAGTGTTGGATATGTCAATTTCCTAAATGGTCGAAATTTTTTATATCAACGCCAAACATTAGATCCGTCACCTGTAGGTGCACAACAGGGTTCAAAACAAGATGGAACAACATCAAGCGCCCGTTCTGAGTCAGTAAAGCCACGTAAGGATCAACTATTGATGCGGCAACAACAGGGAAATTGGAATCCAAATCAATCTGTTGGAGTTGTTTTTCTTCTGCCACAAGAGCTACACGCAGTGACGTCACCTAAACATTACTGAAAAGTCTAGTCAGCGAATGAGATAAACAGCGTGAAACATTCTAGTGCCAGTACGATGAAAAATAAGATAAAAAAGATGGAGAAGTGTACGGATGTACGGAACGGAACGTGGAACTCGAAGGAAAAGCCTTAGCATGACTTACTCTTCCTTTTTTCAGCATAAAAAAGCCAAGGAGTACCTCTATAGTAAAGAACAAAGCCAAGCAAGATCCATAAATAATGAAATAACGAAAAGGCACACAAAACTGAAAGAGAAAAAACGCACCTTAACCATCTGTCCATTTTTCAGAATTACGGATGGGTCTGATCGTAAAGGTGAATAATGGCAGGTACAATGGTCCACGGAAATGCAAGTTGGCATAGCAATACCCTGGTAACATAGGACCATAAAGTCGAGGAAAGCACAATGGCAGTTAAAAATGCATCGGTGCAGATAACTCACTTTAGTTACATCCTTCTCCTTCACAAAAACCTTGGATGTTTTCTCCTGAATGAGTGTATCACCCATGGTACATAGATTGCCGACCTCTACACCCTCCTTCACTTCGGAGATCAGTTTCTGAAAAAAAACGTATGGATGAAGAAAAGATGAGTCAGATCAATCTTACTTTGAGGATTTCATTCGCCATTTGGGCAGCCATCTGGTATTTGTTGACAACAACATCGCTCGAGAGTGATTCGTCTTCACGATGAGATTCTTCGTGGGTTGACGAGCTGCTCTCGCTATCCTTTCGCGGCATTGTACACCAACCCTAAAAAACTTGCAGCTTCATAGTTACACGTGCACTACGATAAGCCAACCACAATCAATGAAAATGGAGAAAGAGGGACCAGAAAGTTAGTAAGAAAAACAAAAGCGAAAATAATCAGCAAGCTGGAATGATAACATAAGAAAATGACTTGCAATGATAAATGAGTTGGTGAAATCAGATCACTAGGCAAGGCAGGCAGTTGAAAAGCTCAGATAAACTGGTACAGCTCCACAACGACAGTTGACAACGCGTAGAACGCCCTACCACATTTAATTAAGTAAATTCTACTGCTGACATAGCATCCGTACACTTAGTACATAGCATCCGTACACTTAGTAAATTATGGATTGTCGATGCAGTTATCGTGCAATGCCACAACAAGGCGGAAGAATTCTACTACCTGCAGACTCCTTTTATCTTCAGTATCTGATCCACGTGGAGCAGTGTAAGGAACAAACCATGGCTGGGTTGTGGTCATCAGAAACACAAGCAGCTGAAATACATCATCATGCTTCCACAATTTCGGCTAATCAGATGAGATGCCAAGATCAAGTCGAGATCAATAACTCGTTTCACCTGTGTGCTACCCATTATTGCTAGTTGCCCAAGCACGCTACAGATACTGGCAACAGACAACAATCGTTTAGGAGGCGGCGTCGGACAGAGATTCTCATAGGCCGCAGTGTTTCCAAAAAGAACAGCCAGCAGAGTTATCAAAAACATGTCGATATACATGAACTAAAACGGATCAATTATCTACTAAACAAACAGTAGAGTTTATAGCCTGACCTGCCCATCCGTAAGGAAGTTTGAGATATAGTACAAGAGCATTACGGCGACAAATTGTGTCAGAGAGTAGCCAGCCATGTATTTGAAGATTCCAAATGATGTGACCAACGCAGCTCTTCCCTCGCTTATAATCGTTGGAACGCACCGAATGTCAGCAACCTAGAATCGTTGTTTGATAGAACAACAAAGAAAGGTTTAGCGAAGGATTACAATAAAAAGAAATACAAGAGTAGTCTTCTAAATGCAGACTTTTGCTAGGAAAAACGACATGGAGCCACTGTTAGCGAACCAACCTTCGAAGTGAAAGGCGCGGCGATCGAAGCCTCAGCGTCGGAAAGTGATATTCCTGCAGCTGCCTGAAGGGCGTAGATATGTTTTATTCAAACATCTTTCTGCTCTACCTTTAATGCTGCACAATCATTTGCTCCATCGCCGCACATTGCAACTGTGTATCCGATTTCTTGGAGGCAATTTATGAGCTGCTGTTTTTGATCAGGTGCCATTCGAGCAAACACATCGCACACAGTTACTAGTGAATCAAGAAGTTCAGGATACTCGTGAGTAATGACCGCGAAAGTAGGCCCTACAAAAATGGAATTGAACAAAAGATGTGTTGAACATTGTCTGGACCAAACAACTCTGGAAACGCTGATTCGAAAGTGATCTCAAGAAGGATCAGAATTCTAGGAAGTTGATTCGTAATTGGCCAGCCAGTGGCTTATAACTGACACGAATTCAGAATATAGGTGCAAAGCTCCTACTGATGCATTTCTAAAAAATCTACTAGTGAAATAGTAATCTCAATGGTGCTAATCACGCGCGTTCGCTTTGAAACCCGCTCGTTTTCCCGCTTGTTGACGATTTTGTATGCACTTTACGATTCTTTATATATAGAGATAGACAGACTCCAAACCCATCCCAACCTGATATGGCAAGGTGGTAGCTGCTCTGAATAGGCTGTCCCAGCTCTGCATCTTTCACGTTCTTGACTATGACTGAGTCATCATCGAGAATGTCGCCAGAGGACGAAACAGACTGAAACATAAATCCACCTAGCATTCGCTGCATTTTTCGATATGCAAACCTGATTAACGGCTATTTTTGTTCGCCCGTTCACATCTACCTCTCCTAGACAGTGCTCTACCAAAAATGCTCGTTTATTCGGGCGTACTATGCCACACTCTCTAGCAACACTCATTGCAGTCAATAAGTTATCGCCGGTAACCATGACTGTTCTGATCCGAGCGCTACAAGGGTAAGATGGGTTGAGGAATCATCGTGAAGAAATAGAGAGAGTGTACCGATTTAACTGGTTGATCACACCAAGTGTGACTGGTTTGATACGATTTTCCATCGCCACCAAGCCAAGTAACTGCAAGTCGCACTCCACCTAAAATAGTTATTTCTACGTTACCAAGTATCCATCAAAATAACTGTGATGAAAAAGAAAAGGGTATAAAAAGAGGTCATCGATGAGAAAATAGAATATATACAAGAAATTCTACCTTTGCTCTCGGCACCTTAGCGGCTTTGTTGAAATTCAGATGCATAACTGAAAATGGTACAGAGATCATCTCTAGCTTGAGGTTAAGACCGTGCAAAGTAGGTGACTGCAATATCAATAACTTCAAGAAGAGAAGAAGTAGGTGATGGCAGGGCTAGGTCGTGAAAATGAGCCGAAATGAGACGAAATAATAACGAAATATAACGACGAAATGACGAAATGTAGAGCCGACGCGAAAGGAGGACTCAGCGATACGCAGTTCGATTGGGGCACGCTTTTTACTCAGGAGACGGGGCTTTTGAGGTTATTTTTGCCTCTAGCAATGAGGGGAGGGGGAGATTTGGAACCAAATTTTCCATATATACTAATCTTTAGGGGCACAGTAGATTTATGTAAAAATTTTGAAAAAATTATGTGAATTGAGAGTTTTGCCGACCTCAGGTGGGAATTAGGTCGGCAAATGCCGACCTAATTTGGAAATTAGTTAAGGAAACTCTTCATTCACATAAGTTTTTCATAATTTTTCATACTTTGTTACTTAGTCCTACTGCGCATATACGTACCAAGTCCCGCGCGATTTCGTCTCCTCTGCGTTGCAAACGAGCCATTTTTCCATTTTCGTGATAGTGGGAAATTTCCAGACAAAAGCTTGCCACACCATTCAGTCACATAATTTTTCAATGAAACTTCTAAGTTAAGCCCTGCAGGCCCGTGTTCATCTACCTACCAAGTTTCATACCATATCGTCATCTGTGCGCTGTAAACGAGCCGTTTGAATTCACACCTTCATTTACCAGTTTTGCCAATTTTTCGGAAAAAATGCTAATTACTCGTTCCGTTCACATAAGTTTTTCATAAATTTTCATACTATGTTTCCACTAGCCTCTCTCAGTTCGCATACAAAATTTGGTGCCATATCGTTACAAATACATTGAGAACTAGTCATGCATGCTGTTACAAATAGCATCGCATGGGCGACGTCGCGCGTGCGGCAATTAGCGACGGCGCGCTTTGACGCGCGAACTCCAGTGTTCGCCTGTTGAGGCACATAACATGTCAAGATAAGTAGCGAGCATGAATACCAATTTTTTTCCGGGGCTCCGCCCCGGACCCCGCAAAAACGATTTCCCCTTTGCTTTTTGGCCCCAAAACGATTTCCAGCTTGGCATTTGCCGACCTCGTGCCGGGCCCTGGTGTAGAAACTGTTTATCAAGAAATGCAGAAAAATTATGTGAGCAAGGTCGGCACAGCTCATCTCTTGCCCAGTTGAACGGTTTTAGTTATTTCGAAAACTGGGCAATTTTTCATTCACATAAATAAAGAAGAGGATAAAAGATCTGCGTCTCCAATACTCTTTACGGACATGCGCCGAATGCACTGCACTTCATTGTGAAGAGGCTACGTATGCGAGGCCATCACAGTGATTTGTGGGAACCAGCCGATCATCAACTTAATGCTCTTATCCTCTCAGATCGCTCTGGTAAAAGTTTAACGTCCCCAGAAAGTAGGGGGGCCTTGGTCAACCCAAGGGCGCGATCGAACCTTGGTCCAATTTGGTCATAACGCGTCTCACACCATTATGCCACTTGTCCCCTTTCATTCACATAAGTGTTATGAATCTCTCGGTTATAGCTCAACTAGCCCTCATATAGGCACCAAATTTGGCGTCATACATAGCATAGTTGTAAATAAAGCATTTGCTTGTTTGACAGTCTCTGCCTTATGTGAGATATGATGAAAACACTGTGAGATGACCCTGTTTTGACTTGTTTGAACAGATGAAGATGTCTGAATGATGCGCGATATCCACATTGTTTTCTCTCCAGAAAACGAGATCTTGCTTGAACTAGTTTATTGAAGCCTTTTGTGGACTATCTTTTCTTCTCGGCTAAAGTTGTCTGTGATCTAGGCGAAGGAAGCCCCAGCTTCATTATCAGACCACATTTCTAAAGTTCGTCAAGCTGAACATCGCCTGCTTAAGTGCTGAAGAAACATCCTCTGCTACAATTCTTACGTTGCACTTTAATCAAAGTCATCAGTTTAGAGGAAAACCTCGAGAACAAGAGTAGAAGGGACCCGTATCACCTTTTCTACCCCCCCCCCCCTTCCCCCACTCCTCCCCGTCAGCTCCGCTGACTGAGCTGACCCTTCCAGGGTTTGGCTAGAGTGCACACCCTAAGGGCATACGCTACGTCCACCCAGCCTGACCCAAACCTTGCATTCTTGAATCAAATTAACGACCGCTCATGCTCTCTTGCTTCGAAAACGCTGGCATTTTTTTACGTGGCATTTTTGCGGTCCTATGTGTCAAAAACACTATGTGACATTGCAGCATGGGTGGGCAGTTGACCATTTAGTGAACTATTGCGGTGAGTTTTCCGTGCTTCAGTAAGTTCAAATTTGGCTGTAAGTGAACTTACATTTTGTTCATATCTTAGTCAGGCCAAAATTTCCATGGCGGAAGCCGGTGTCCCTAGGGTTTTGCGTCACATTTACGCCTACTTGTCTGCTGTCCTTTCGTTCTCTTCGCTTTTTCCGACAGTACGCATATGCAGAGCAAGCCTCTAGCGCTGCGAACGCGCAAACTTACGTCAACGGCTCGGCCTGTTCCCGATTGGGACAAACTGTACGAAGACGGGTGAATCAGAGGGTTCAGTCATAAAACGCGTTGTGAGCAGCGTACGAGGCCTAATGCGCACGATGCGCACGACGCATAGGCTGTGATGCGCACGAGGCGTAGGCCATACAATCGTAGGAGGCAACTGATGCAGCGGCATCCTCGCGTTTCATCGATGATTCAATACGAAATGGAGTCATTGACTAAAATGAGATTGTTTGGCAGAATCGAGAACCACCGGAAGTGGAAATGATTAGGTCGATGTTCTGTATAAGCACAGCGGAACATCCTGCCGACTTTGATGGGAAAACAGTCGCAAGATGTGATTTTACAATCATAAAGAGGAGCAGTGGATGATAAACAAATGCTGGGTTCCGATCAGCATTCTCCTGTGATTGTAGAGGTGTACGCCTCGCACGCGTTGTGTGCTTCGAGTACGTCGTCTGCGTCATGCGCCTTATACGTTTCGTCTAATCATAGTATGATTAAACACAAAAAATCTTGTTAGCTGCTCATGTGTAATCATGGGACACTTAAGAGGACTTAGTGCCAAAGACGGTGAGTGCTCAAAATGCACAATTTCGGAGGGCTACGTATAGAAATGATCAGCGAATAGCTGGTTGCAGCAGCAATAAAAATGTCCTTTCTTTTCTTGCAGCAGCAGCAGGATCTGCCATCCAAGTTTTTCAAATGCTTATGCTGAAATTTTATTTTCTGAAAGCATGGTTTTTTATAATGCAAACTGATGCTAAAATATCCAAATTTTGTGATATACTCTTTGTTTGTTGAACAAAATTTTTGATAGCAGTCTCACCAACCTTTTGTTAATAACCCCTATCAAGAATGTTCGGCGATGTAGCAAAAATGATGGCACTAGCGGGTCTTCCATGATCCTGCCACATGTTGCAATAAATCAAGATTTGATGCACTTCCACAAACATTTCATCTGTTCCTTCTTGGAAAATGCGCAGTTTTATCATGTTTACAAAACGACTGCAACTGAAACATGCTCACTTGCTGAGGGGCACGGTAACACTAAATCGAGTCTGCTTCAGCTGAGATAGGATGATGGGGGTATACTACAAGCCAAGATCTCGTTCATTCTTCTCTTGCAAAGGTGAACGGCAGGACTTGTCTGCTGAGCAGAAAATTCCTCCTTTTCCTTACTGAGCATGCATATGGAATTCTCCCTTACTCGCAAACAAGAACACTAGATTAGCATACTCTCCAAAAATGAGTACTCCAAAAAAACTCAGCTGTTTGAACAACATCCAGATGGTTTTATCGTAGAAGTTGGAGATGTCACTGTCTGCCGATCGTCCTAACATTTGTCAACTACGAGAAAGCCTCTGACAGCGTCAGAAACTAACGCTATTTTGATAGTATTAATCGATCAAGTATTAATCAAGGAGTGGACCCAACTTATGTGAAGACATTGGCCAATTGTTAAAATAACTCTAAAAAACGCCCATCCCATCGGTTCCCAGCCGTTTCAGTCGCTAAGAGTCTCTATAAGGGACCCGTCATACTTCGCCGAGAAAAGCCCAAAAGAGCCCGAAAAAGCCCGAAAAAGCTCAAAAGCGCCAGAAAGAGCCGGAACGCCCCTTTCCGTTTTGACGCTAAGGCATGGTGTTGATTTCGCAGTCCGAGTCTTTTTGCTTCATTTTCTGTCGTCTGCACATCAAAATAATGTCTGAATTCTATCATAATTTCTTTCATGCGTTCGAGCTCTTCCGGGCTTCACCGGGCTTTTTGAGCTTTTTCGGGCTTTTTCGGGCTTTTTTTTCGGCTTTTTCGGGCTTTTTTGAGCGCTTTTGGGCTTTTTTCGGCGAAGTATGACGGGACAGCCGAAAGAGTCTCATCAAAGCTGTTTACCGCCGCCTTGCAATGGGTGATCTATCGAATGAATTGAAATGAGCGAAGTATACGAAATTGATGGAAGAAAACTTTTCATCCCTAGTTTTACAGGCGAAATTGTTCCGTTTACGGCCAGTACTGCTATAGCACAAATAGTGCTGAAGGAAATGAACGAAATAATGAAGAAAGCAGTGCAAGTAAATTGAAGAGAGACATTTTATGAAGAACGAATCTTATTATAATAGGCAGGCGCTATACTCACTGAGGAGTATAGCATCCCTTCAATTGATTGCATCAGATACGTGTAAAATCGGCGATTTTTGTCGCGAACATGGCAATCGCCAATCGCTACGACTGGTGATCGCCAGTCGCCTATATTAGCGGCATGCGATTGCCAGTCGCTAATACTGGCGACTGCACTCAACATAGAAATTTATCGCTAACAAGCAACCACATGTTCCGTCGATACGTACCAAATGTGTTGTCGCCGAAACCTATGAAATTTCCGAAAAATTGTGAATCGTCAATCGTATCGACTGGCGATCGCCATGCTACACTCCCCGAGAAGTATAGCGCCTGTCATAGGAAAAACTGAGACTCCTTCATTCAAGAGACGTCCTTTTACATTTTGTTCGATAGACACCGAGAACGAATTTGGTGAAAAACTCAAATAGAGAAGAAAAGCAGTCTGTGGTCATAGGGTTGAGCTGGCACAGTTCTGTCGAGTGACTCATCTTTTTTACTCACGCTGCTGTAGCGTGAGCGACAGATAAAAATTGGAAGTATTAAGATACCTGTGATTTGTTTGAAAAGCATAGGAGAAAAATTTTGCACGGGTTCGCTGCAAAATTATTGCTCGGTATAGATAAGATTTTGGTCTAATATGATTGAAAAATAGGGGCTAAATTACGAAAATGAGGCCGTTAACAGCTTTACTTTATTTGTCAAATACACAATTTAGCTTGAGGAACAGGAGAAGCGTGGATACTCTCTCATGACAAAGGAACAGATGTTGCTACTTTACGGCCCGGCTTCTCCATACAACTGTTCTGAGACATTGAAGCGGTTGCGAGATGTGAATGCTAACAATAGCGACCACCTTATTCAGAATGAAATTCGCCTCATTGCGGAGGTATGTTGGAGTATCTCGAGTCATGAATTAATCAGATAATTTTATTTATCAGGCTAAACAGTGGAAACTAAAGCAGAAAGATATAGTGCTGATGCCGTTAGTGAGGAGTCCCTTACTGATTGCTAACGCTCCAATTCTCTCACAGCCTGTCATACTTTCACCGCTGGTGTTGTCTCCTTCGATTCTCACTCCTGCTGTGTTGGGTCCTGTGATTTTGGGTCCTTGGGTAGGTTTCAGTCTTTTTGGTTCCAAAAATAAAACTCAATTTCATAGGTGTTCGTCCCAGTAATCTTATCTCCTCGTCTATTATCGCCACTGATCGTCAATCCACTAATCTTTTCGCCGATTATCCTCTCTCCTCTTGTTCTGCATCCGCTCATTCTTGCACCAGGGATTTTCAACCCCCTCATTCTCTCGCCGCTACTGCTGTCACCCTTTATCTTGTCACCCCAGGTGAGTCAGAGACGTCAATCTAGGAGAGACACAACTATAATGATTGCAGGTTTTCACACCCGTTATACTCTCTCCGTTCGTCTTGAATCCATTTATTCTGACGCCTGGTGTTGGAACTCCACTGATTCTATCACCATTTGTGCTCTCTCCGATTATTCTATCACCACAAGTAATCTTTGGAGTAATACTATCTCCTTATGTCTTGTCTCCATTGGTTTTAACGAAGCTTTACATAAGTACAGTTGTTGCGTCGCCAAGTTGGCTCAGTTAAAACATTTTTTGATTTATGCTTCTTAATCAACCTCATATCTTCTGCCCTCATGCTTGTTGCTATCATTCAAAGATCTCATTTTTCCTGTTTTTATCCAAATATGAGATTGACCAATTTGAAATCTTGTGCTGTATGTTGATATTGCTGATGTCATCTTTGTATCTTATGGTTCTATAATGCTTCCCTCTCTGTCATTAGTGAAGCTTTACTCATTTGGGAGCTTATCTTAAGCACGCACAACTGTTGGAACGATAGTGTAGGGAGCACAGCACTCAACCTCCTAAACGACCAAATGAGCGCGAACTGTTATGAAAAACCGGTGTTCTGGCAGAAACTCAGCCTTTAACTTTTTCGCTGCTTGAGCTCATCGCCACGCTAAGCTATAAGTTAACCTCGATGGGCGCGAAAATGACAGAACCAAGCTTTTCGTAATGCCTTATATTTTGAATTTGCGCGACTTTGCATGAACAGTTCCGCTGACTTTGTGACGCAGAGTTGCTGTAGGACTCTCATCTTAGCTGTAGCGGCAGCGCCCCCTGGCTTGCAGTTTAAAATCCGCAGGTGCTCGAGGGCTCAACCTTCACAAGGAGCTAAAATAACACACACATCAACCTCGTCCGGAATGCTTAAGTTGAACGTATTACTTTTGGCTAGTTCACTTTCATGAACTATAGTTAAATTATAGTTCATAGAAGTAAAGTAGCCAAAAAGCCTATCAGAAGTGTATTAGAAGTGTATTAGAAGCGGCAACAAGGCTTCAAAGAGTAAGGTCTTGCGGGCGCTGTTCCTATTCGCTCTCCTGCCAATACTTTCCATGGCTATAATGTTTAAGCTGTATCTCCATATTGTTCGAACATCTGTGGGATTGTGCAAGAATATAGGTGCAGAATATTGCTGTTCGTTTGTCAAAATAGATATCTTGTAATCATACAACTTACAACTGTCTCAATCAAACTGGGCCACCTAAACCACTACGGGCGTCATCCCAAGTAAGAGTGTGAAACTTCAAAACGATATTCAGATTACCCTGTTTCACTGATTTTAGATGTACAAGGTTTTGTACGTTCGTGTATTAATCGCTTTCGATAACTCATTACTCGAAATCAAATAGAGACATTCTTGAACTCGCTGAACGTTATGTCAATTGTCTCAAATCCCTAGTCAGAAGACAGTTTTTTTGGCTCCAGCATGAACGAGTGCTTCGGCATTAATTTTGTCGTATGAAATAGGAACTTCCGTCATACGCAATAGAGATACACTTACAAGCAGCGTTTTTAGTGTGCTTCACTTCAGGACGCGTTGGATAGCATTCTCTTAAGTAGTCGGGCCTGATGACCATAGCTGACCATAGCTATATTACCTTACTAATCACAGTGCAACTTCAAATGATGCCTGAAATACCGCTGTTCCGTATTTAGGCCATCACAATGACATTAGCAAACATTTTAGCTTGATGAAAATAGCTAGATGTGAGAAAGATTGTACTATAGTTTAGCCGCAGTTATAAAGTTGCTCCCTTTTTTACTCACTACTGGACTCTTCTGACCTCAAACTTTACAACCACAACATCAAAGTAACAAATGAAACATTTGCTACATTTAGGTGCATTAAGAGCCGAATTATTTTGAAAAATGCTGCTTTAGGCGATTCCCAAGCACTTATTTTGACTCTAAAACCCAAAAAATTTTATCGAAAAATGTAAAGCGGGTCGCAAACTTTTCATGTTTTGTTGTAAACTTTCGTTGTCGTTGATCCTGACAACTCAGTCTTAACCTTATCACGAAATGAGCAGGTTTTGAGTTACAAAACACATCTTTTGACGTAATAAAACTTCTGTGTTGAGCTTGACGCACTGCTTGCTTGGATTCGCAGAGACATAAGTGAAAAACTGGGATCAAAGCGCTTTGCTTTCAAAGATCAGTTGTACGCCATGGATTTGTCATAGTTTTATAATTTACTTTTTTCGTCTCTCCCACTAGCTTTAACGGGACAGTCAGGAATACACGTTATATGCACGTACATCCCCGCTGGGGGGGGGGGACCGAGATAGGATGCGTCATATCTCGCCTATCTTGCTGGCCTGGTTATCTGCGTTTTTCTACGTCTAAAAACCTCATAAAGATTCTCATACCTTGATAACTGGGCATAACGGATGTCCGGATATTGCCATACAAGATTGAGAATTTTACTGTATTGTACTGTGTAATCCCTGGGGAATCCTTACAAAACTTCTACAGAATCGCTTCCTAGTTTTCAGAGTCGTCTCCTCCAGAAACTCGATGAAACGTTGAATAGTAGTGAGGATCTTAATAGGACTACCCCGTCAGTGTTATGATAGGTCGTACTCAGTACATTTTACGACGTCTCCATCAAGTTTATGGGAAGATAGACGACTTTGTAAACAAAAAGTGATTCCCTGGGGACTCTGGGGGATCACATAAAGCAGTGAATTTTTCAGCTTGCTAGGCCAGATTTTATCATGTTTTCAGGTAACAGGGTATGGGAACCATAAGATGGATAAATAAGAAAACAGATATCTAGAGTAGCGAGATATGACGCGCCCCATCTCAGCTCTCTTCCCTTCCCCAGCGAGAATGTACGCACGTGTTAGGACCTCAGAACCAGTTTCTACGTGAGATCCCCATGTTCCAGACGTCATTGGCTTCTTTGAGCATACCAGTTCAGTACCTAACAGTCTGTTTCAATGCGAGCGAATAATTGCACTCATAACTCAAAATAGCTATGAAAACTTTTCGATATCAAAGGTTCTTCAACTTAGAATGAATCGCTTTGATGTGGACAATCCATGTCATGTTTTATTTCCTTTAAAAGGTAATTGACGGTGGTAAGCAGTTTACGAAATCAAGCGATCCTCAGCTGAAACGGTTCTTATCAAATTTGAACTAGCATAGATGAAATGATTGCAGCTTTTTAGTAGTTAGGGCTATGTTCTCTGTAATTTTACGGGAACCCAACTTTTTAGAAAGTTTCGAACCTCAACCTTTATACACGACTTCTATAATACAATACCAATGTATTGATGTAAAATAAAACTGGCATCAGATTGGAACATCCGGAACAGTTCAAAGTTGGCCAGCTTCAGGGCTGTAAGGAAGATAATGCAGCCGGAGAAAGAGTTGTATGGTCTCTTGCACTAGATGCTCTATAGGTATCTCACCAGCAAGTCCCAAGCAGTAGCTTCAGCCTCAAGATTGGGGAAAGCTTCGAGTAACTCTTCGTAAACTTCGAGATTCTTTATCTTCATGACCAGACTAAATCGCTGTTACTTTGAGGCGAAATGTCAGTGATTTTTATGTTTAAAGCGCTTACTATCTAGCTTCAGCTAGCAGCTCAGGCTTGAAGTATTGGTCGTAATTGAAAGAACGCGCATGTTTCATGGCCATATCGAAAGCCTAAGATCATGTCGTCAAACTTTGATTGCTAACCTATGATCTGTAAAGGTGCTGTTACCTCATTCACATATGCTTGAGCTGTTTGAGAAAGGCGATCATATCTTGCTCTGAACTCTAGCATTTTTTCGTAAAGTTCTTTATTATCTTTTGCCCTCTCCAAGATCTGCAAAAGTAGATTATGCAATCTGCAAAAGTAGATTATGCACTTTTGACATGGCTGTCTTACGTCCTCTCACCTCATCACCAACATAACCCCAAAACTGGAGATTCATTAAGTAGATCAGGTCTTTCAAAGTCAATTCAGACATTCGCATCACAATGTCGAGAGCAGCACTTTCATCTGCAGATAGTCAAAATTGACTGTGAGTGGGAATATCATGCGATGAAGCTAGTGCTCCTAAAGTTTGCGCATAGGACCGAATAACGGACAGCGTTGAGATAAGTCGATGGAACTATCTATATATATATATATATATATATATATATATATAAAACTCAAAAATTGTATGTTTGGAGGGTATGCGAGCTATAGAAACACCCGCCGCTCAACCGATGGGGCTAAAACTTTGAATACAGATGTTTTTGACCCCGTAGACGGATTTAGGATACTTTTTACTAAAATTCGCTGGGTCCCTCTATCGATTTATTGATTTGTTTACGTTTTTCTAAGAAACTGGAGGCTTATCATGTTTAATCAAGCATTTCCCCATAATCATGTAAAGAAGGGCGGTGAAGCTCATTTTTATCTCAAGATTACAAGGATGCGGTTTCGAAGCGGATGACTCAGGGTAGGTCATCCATAAGATATAGGAGGGGGGGGGGGGCTTGCAGTACAGGTGACCAATGGCCTGGGCTGGACCGGGAAAGCCAACTAGTATTTTCTAATGTTGTATTGCCCCGAAGCTTACAGGTCTAGACGGGCATGCTCTGTAATCCAACTTTGGTTTTCATTCCTAGACCTTCTCAATATGCTGGGTGTAAAGGATACCCCAGACCCTGTTTCGTCACTTTCACAGCTTTTGTGCAGTGCAAAATGCCCTTTAACGTTTTTCGTATCTAATGGCGATTAATGTTTAGTAATAAGAGTCACGCTCATCCACTACTTATGTGCGGAAGATAGAAGAAAAAGCGCTTTGCTGCTTTCAGGTGTAGAGCAAGATTACAAGAGGTACTGGTTTTAACTTTTCATTTTGTTTGAGCAGTGCTTTTGAGAAAGCTTATGGAGTGAAAGCTTCCTGTTGGTCTGAGCTGAGGCATCGTATTGCATTGTTAATTTCAAGCATTTTGTTGTGATCACGCTTTTACTGGCCTTACTCTAAGCAGTGATAACTCCCTAGAAACGATGCATCTACAGCGGCGGTCACCCACTGGCTAAGAAAATCGTGTGACGGAGGCTCACCCTGCTTCAACTTTTGTGGCCAAACTGCACTGACATAGCTTACTAGCGATAGAGCGACAAGCACTGGAAAGTACATATCTAGAATGAACCTTAAACTCAAAAGAATCCATTGTTAACGAAGAATCTGTTTGTTAAACTTGTTTAAAGTGATCATTTGAGGGCGTGCTACTGTCGGAGGGTTGCGGGGAAGACAGAGACATGGTAGTTCTAACATGCCTACTCTACAGCTTGCATCAAGTTGATAATCTCGGGGTACCACTTCGTTTGAGAGTTTCCGCTATTTTATTGTTTGCAATTGCAGGATGAGTTTTGAGTTGTAAAGCATGCGTCATACTTGATCCGCTTGATTCAATCCATCCACTTGTTCCATTCAACCAATTGACCATTAGAAAAGTGAATGAAGCGGATCAATTTGATCAGGTGGACTTCTGCTTTGCTATAGGTCTGTTTACTGCGCGTCAAAAGGCGTCCGTCCTTGGGCTTGAGCCAAACTGCGCGTCGTCGCGTACGCCGCGTACGCCGCGCAGTCTGCCTTAACCAGGGCTTGGCACAGCTGGCACTGGATCAAGCTGCATATCGTTTTTGGGACAAAAAGCAAGGAATATCGCTTTTGTGGCAGAAACACCTGCAACGTTTAGTTGATGTTTCGTTTGAGGGTTTTTTACGTTTAGGTTTAGGGTCAATGGGGATTTTTAAAGATCAAAGGAGATTTCGTTTTGAGATTTCCCTGGTGCCAGCGCCCAGCCTTGGCCTTAAGCCTAGAGTTGGCTTCATATTGATCCGGAAGTTCCGGAACAGTTCCAGCACACATCTCCCACTGTGCTATTACTGTGAGGGAACTGCGCTGCATGCTATGCATCCGCCGCATGCGTTTTGAGCGGGGGAGTTAGAGATTGTCGACTGTTTTTGGCGGTCTTTCTCTCAAACTTCACTCATTTGTTTCATTCTTCCACTGCGCTTCCCCTTCTGATGAGAACCTCGATTTTGAAGCAGGGTTGAAGAATGATCGCAGTCCTGCTCCTATGTATCCGGGAAGATGTGTCTTCGTGCACTCGTCTTCCTTTTTTATTTGTTCTGGACTACTTCGAGTGTGCCAGGATACTGCTGTGTAGTTCCGCATCTGTACTGAAAGGGTCATAAACAGCTTCCCAGAACACTTGAAGTGTGCCTGAATAGAAAATAACGAAGAGAAAATGGACAAGCGCACGAAGACCCATATTCCTAAATAGGAAAAGAACAGCGTTTTTCTTTAAACGGTTGAAGTTCGCAGCCTTGCTCATCACAAAGAGAAGCGGGGTAGAAGAAAGAACGGGTAAGCTATTGAAGAAAGAAAAGATGCTGAGAATGCTCAAAGACCAAACTTATCAGAAAATAGTGAAAAGTCGAGATTTTTCGCATTTTGGAAACTGTTGGCATGCCTAGCTCAAGATAGATGACTGTGGAAACTATGCAGTGGCTTCGTAGAACACATTAAGTGGTTTTAACACGTTTCGGACCGGTGCTGCACATGGTGCAGCACGCTGCTTTGAAGGACCTTTTTGACGTCTACAGAAGGTTTTCTTTGAGTCCATGGTTATCAGATCAAAGGTCTAAGCTTCTACTTTTCAAATGACTCTGTAGAGTTGTGCCGTCGATATTTGTTTAGGAGATATGAGCACAAATCGAACAACAGTCGCAACGAAGTGCGGCAACGCGACCGACGCGTGCGACGTCGCAACTTTTCTTTGCTTCGATATCAAAGTGAAAAACCGTAGTTTTGATACCGATGTGTACCTTTTACAACATGGATACTTTTGGATACTATTAGAAGCTGAGTTCTTGTTCCTATCTTTCAGGAAAGCACAAAAGTCCTTCTCAAGCGACGAAATTCAAACACTTCGAATTAACTCAGAATTTTGGGTATGGAGATTATAGGACATCGTCATTACAGATGTAGCACACAGTCTTCAAAATAAGGTCCCTTTGTTGTCTAACGGTTGAAAGATCACTATTTTTCGCCGCGCGCGATTTCGCGGTCCGAAACGTGTTAAATTGAAATAAAGAAAGGAGAACGGACGAGCGCAGGAAGACGCATCTTCTTAGATACATATAAACAGGACTGCGCTCATTTTCCAACCCGCTTCACATATTTCAGCGTTTCATCAACAGGAGAAGCGGGGTAGAGGAATGAGCCCGAAATGAGTAAAATTTGACAGAAAAACAGTTGAAAACGGTCAAAAATCGCTATTTTCGATGCTTGGGACTGCATGCGGACGGCTGCAGCGCATGCAGCTTAGTCACGACAGAGTTTCAGCACAGTGCGAGAACTGTGTGAAACTGTTTCGAAACTTACAAATCAGTATGAAGTATGAACCCAGCCTAAGGATTCAAAACTTGAGAAAAATTTGGTTGAAAGGTGCACGATCGCATGTGTCAGGCACAGCATCTCAAAAACCGAAGTTCTAAAGCGCACCGAGCGTTGGCGTAAAAAACAAGGAGCAATTAGAGCAATTAGATTTTTAAACCTGTTATGAACCTCTCACAATATTCTTCCAAAAGAAGCGGAGAATTTCTTTTAGAGTGAAGTGCACTTTCAGAGACAGTTGTTCAAGACACTCTCTAAAGTCCCATCAAATCTTTTAGTCCCGTGATGAATCCTGTAAAGACGGCGTGTCAGCAACATATAGTGAGTCGTAAAACGGGTTGTTCCTCTAGAACTTACCTCGTTCTAATTTCTTTCGTTTAAAATCATCCGGTCATCCACTGTTACAAGTGTGTGCCGTTCACTTCGAGCATCATCATTCATTAAAGTCTACTGCATGTATTTTCTACACACATTTCTACTTTCTGACTATTAAACAAAGCTATGTTTTGACTTTTGTTTGTTGCAGTTTTCATGCTTAAATTTATAATACGTCATTATATTGTCCATTCTTGCGATGATAATCTAAATGAGATTGAACTCAAAGTGACATAATTGGTCGTCTGAATCTGTTTATGTTTCACTGTATGACTTCTTAGATACAGGGTGTCCGTAAAGTATGTATACACTGTTTGATCGTTAATATCTTTCTTCCCAACAAGTCTTTTGCCTTGCTTCAGGTACCGTTTTGTAGAGCTGGCTTCAACTTAGATTTACAGTATGGAGCGAATCACCGATCGCTCTTCATTACTGTAGGATTACGGTAGAAACTTGAAACATGTGGTGTCAATGTGGAAAAAAGCTGCCGTCTCAAAATTTTTCAAAAAAAAAATGTGAAAACTTGTGTAATAGGGTTTTTTATGGACGCTGAGTTCAATACTCAACTATTCGCAAGATTGCGAAGCTTTCCCTTTCTAAACGGTGTAACCGCACTTTTTAGGAACATTGAAAAAATGGCCGCTACCTCTTACCCGGCATAACTCTTCAATGAAGCATCATAATAAGTTGGGAAAAGCTTTCAGGCTGTTTTGTTTCCTATCTGAGGCAAAATATGGCCTTTCATGACTCAAAACCCTCTTCGAAGTTTCTACCGTAATCCTACAGTAATGAAGAGAAATGGGTTTCGTTTTATACTGCAAATCTAAGTTGAAGCCAGCTCTACAAAACGGTACCTGAAGCAAGGCAAAAGACTTCTTGGGAAGAGAGATATTTACGATCAAACAGTGTATACATACTTTACGGACACCCTGTAAGTTGTTGTTTTCATGAAATAAAAATAAGACATTTATGTAACACTACCAGTAGATTGTGAACAAATTCAACTAAGCCACGTTGGTGAAAGCACAGCAGCGAAAAGTTTACCAGGAGAAAGAATAATCGGCGAAAGTGCATAAGGAGATAAAACAAAAGCTGAAACTGCTACTGGAGCAAGTATCAGTGGTGAAAGCACAAAGGGAGATAAAATCAAAGGAGAGAGCGCGTTGGGTACTATGATGAATGGAGAGAGGCAGAATGGGGATAAGATTAGAGGAGCAAGAACTACAGGGTTTATAATGAAAGGAGAGAGAACAAGTGGGGTCAGGATAAATGGAGCCAGAGCTCCAGGAGATAGAACTAGTGGATCGAAAGCAAGTGGCGAAAGAATGACGGGTGATAGTAGAATTGGGGATATAATGACTGGAGAGAGGAGTCGAGGTGAGACTAGCACAGGTACAAACGCCCAAGGAGATAAAATGACACCTCCAAAGATGGCTGGAGAGTAGATGAGAGGCGTTAAAAGTACAGGAGAGAGAACAAGTGATTGCGAAGCAGTTGCTGGATCGGCAATTATACTGCTGAGAAGGAGCGGAGACAGAATGATGTCTTTTTTTCGCTGAGCCTTGAATGCTACGGTTTCAGAAGCTAAACCTCTGATAGTAGATTCTACTGCTCTAGGAATTTCAGCAGCAGAAGTATTCCTTAATCGTGCATGCGTGGACGAGTCATTGTATGGTGATCCAGGACCATACACCAGGTCAAGCTGCTGCTTGTTCATCACGGTGTATCCAGTGGAGTTCATTTGCAGCATCTGTAAAAAGTGATGTATCCTCGAGTTATTTGTAACTTAATATCTGTAAAGCACACCATTTATGGCACACATCTTACAGTTTTACGATACAAAATGTTTTACCAAGAAGTTACTGATAGAGGAGTTGTCGGTCGCCGCGCGTTATGTACAGGCTCACATATCAAATCGCTGTTGACTCGACACATCATGCATATTCGACTTTTATTCATCTACAAATGCAAAAATATGCAGTCAAAGCCGAATTAAAGTGATATTTGCATGAAAAATATAAATATCACTTTAATTCTGTTTCCGGCATTTTCCGAGCATCCCCTAACAGTTATTTGTGTTTTTGCAGCAAAAATCGCAGAATCTAGGTAAGTAAAGTCAATCTTATTGGCTTCTCCACCGCTCAAGTAGAGCTGTGCTGAGTAATATTCAACAACCGCCTTTAATTTTTTGACTTAAAGACGCACATAATCGGCTTTCGAAAGAGCCCGGCAGGTATCAAAAACGGGTAGTACGTTGTATGCTTCAAAATAATATAGATTTCATTTGAAACCCCTTTGACTAACTTTACACTTTCTGTGTCATCTTGACTCCACATCATCGAATGCACCTAGCAAAAGTACGTCTCTTCCTTTTTCATAAAGTAATTCTTTTGAAAAAGCACTCGAAAACTTCTGATAACTAGCACAAATTACCCTAATAATCTCTACTCCATAGGCTAGTACGTTAATTAAGCGTTGATCTCATTGAATGCACGTCTCCGATGGAGCTTAAATACTGTTCTCACACTTGACCATAACCTCTAAGCAACATGATTCAAAAATGCAAATTTGTAAACATTATCAAACTTACCCACAGTTTCAACAAGAGAAATTGTAGCAGCTTGCAATGAGCGGCAGTTACTCAAAACAACTCTTTATTTGTTCGTACCCGTACCTGTTCGAGTGAGAACGAATCTTGAAGCTCTTCCATAACATCGATCTTTTTGCTTTCTTCTTTGCCGTACATGTCGGTCACGTTCTTCTTTGTAAAGAAAAGGGGTTGTTTTTCATCGTTATAGTATCTTTCGTCCATCATCCTCCTTTCTTCGGCTTCATTCGTGTCCTAAACAGAAAAGTAATGGTAATTTACATTGCTAAACGAGTATCTATCGCAGATACCTTCATCTTCATAAGTGCATCAGAAACTCCAGAAGCTTCGATTACAAAGTTCAACCATTCTTGATGCCCTTGATCGTCGAAAAGCTTCAGAGCTTTTGCAAGGCTCAAATCGTTCTCAATACCTTTACCCTCGTCGTGCAGGGCGAAAAGAGAAGGGGAAAGCAGGTTGATCTGATTTTCATAAGTTAGCTCAAGTTGAATCATATGAGATAAATCACCATATCCTCATCAATGCCTTCGGGGACGAGTGCGAGAAGTCGAGGTGACATGAGCTTGAAACTCTGTCTGTCAAAATTGCTGACATTATGCCCTGATAGCATCATGCCCAATTTCATAGCTGAAAAAAATACTAAGTACTAAGTGCAGACATTTTCCTCTTATTTGTAATTGGCATCCAAGCTTATCCTTACTTCTAGCAGTTTGGAAATACAGTTTGAAAAACAAAATCATATTCAAAAAGCATGATAAGCGAGAATTTCCTACAGCTCTATAGCAGCTTACCCTCCCGAATAAGCTTCATTGGCATTTGCATCATATTGTCTTCTAAGCTCGGCGTTTTCTCATGTTTTTTCGCCTTGCGCATCATTCTCTCCATTTTCTTTCCGCTCATATCATTTTCAAATATACTGTTCTAAAACAAACATTAACCAATGACCGAAGAAAATTTCCGTAAATTACCTTCATCAAGCTCTTTCCAATGCCTTCATCGCGTAGAGCGTCTTTGAATAAATCGAGTCGTTCTTTTAGCATCTTTTTCACTTTATGTTTTTCTTTCAGTTTCTCGCCTTCCTGCTTTACTTCTCCAACAATTTTTTGCCAGCTGAATCCTCAATTTATTTCCTGGAAACCAACATAAAATTTTACCTCTTATATTCTTTGCTTTTGTTCTTCAGAAGTCTTACAGTGTGAACCAGCTTCTTAGCAAGTAGCGATAAGGGAGATAGATTTGAATCTAAATCAGAGATAAGGATTTTGTGCTGAAGAGCTGTAGATTTTGATTGATAATTTCAAATTTCAGGAAGGCGTACGTGGATTAAAACTTGCCAAAGGGTTGACACGGTTTTGACAAATTAAAGAAAAATCTTGATGATTATGGTTTAGCCGAATCAATGGTAGTATTTTAAATTCTCCAGGTATTACTGCAAGAATCTACGGATTTAGGCGCAACAAACCTTGTAGCAAGAGACTGTAGCTGCTTTGTTGTATAGGCCCTATTTTCCGCTGCGATTTCCTCCACTTTTCGAAGTGCTTATCCACATCTCGCTTTGCTCTCATTTTAAACGATCCTATCCATCCGCTGTCATTTGGAAAGTACTCTTTCTGCTGAAAGCAAACGTACACAAAATGAAGTAATACTATCTGTAGCCTGTACTGTGTTATATTCGATCTTTCAGCTATCCACTCCTGGCCAGTATTGAAGAGTTAAGTAACTTTCTTAACATTATTTGGGTTCTTCATCATTTCCCATCACCAAAAGAGTTATTCAAAAACACAGACTTTCACTTTGTAGTAGCTTTGCCCTTATAGTAGCTCACTAATTATAAAACACGTATAACAATATAAAATAATGATTTACTTGGTTCTTATAAATTTCATGGTATAGGCGATTTCCATGCGTATAGTGGGCGTGGCCCTGCAGACATTTGACCACGTTGGAAAACTTGTTGAACCTCCATTCTAAAGCATTTTCTAAAGCATTAGTTTTTGTACTCTCTCGGTATCAAAAACTGCCACGCGTATACGTTGGCAAACGTCGGCAAAGCTCTGCCCGCCATACTGTGGAAGATGGACGATACATTAGCATGATTTTGTGTTCATTTTACGAAAAAGATTTCGGTAGATTGAATGACTTATGCGAATCTAGCCGTCGCAAAACATACTGCTTATGTCTTAGTCTTTTTCTTTGCCGTACAGGTTTGTTATGGTAGTACCTTTATTGCCTTACGTTTCGGCTACACGCCGTCTTCAGAGGCCTGAAAGGAGTCAGCCACATTGATGTTCGCTCTTGGCCGCCAAACACCTCCTCTCACTCGCGTATTCGATTCGTCCAGTGTAGAGAAAGCAGGTCTGGCGGTTGACTCGTACTCACCAGTGTACTACCGATACTGCAGTGTGCAACCGACTTGGGCGAGCTCGTTCGACTGTGGTGACAAACAAATGAGCAGTGTGCATGGCACCAAACTGCTTATATATACTCGAACAATCTACAGCTCGCAAAACGGAAGATACGGCATGAGATCAGCGGTTATAGATAACTGTTCGTTCTTGCTGTTCATTTTTGGATCGCGTGCAACAATGAACGATGCTTCCAGAGCCTTTCGCGCAGAAATTTGGTTTTCAAAGGCTAATATCGTGCACCTTATATTGAAATCAACACCGCCGTGCTCTATTTTCCTATGCTTCCCTAGTGGGCTGATCATGCTTTGTTTCCTTTTACTGGCCAGGTGTTCATTTATACGTACGCTCAATGGTCGGCCGCTCTCTCCAATGTAACTGGCGGAGCACTCTAAACAGTGGATCTCGTAGACGACACCACACTTTGTACAATCTCCAATATTTCCGTAAGGGCAGATCACGCAATCCTGTGAGTTACAAGATTTGTCATATAGTCTATTGCGGACCAATTGTGTTTTGATATTGTCTCGAGGGATATTCACTAAAATAACGTCATTCTCGAGACCTGCTCGTATTAGGCACCGCTTGATCGCCACAGAGACCTTTTCGGAGATGAAGGGTAGGCATAGGGGTACTTTATTGGTGACCCGATCTTTTAACTTTGTTGCCTTTCCTCGTCTGGGTCGCGTTACATAACCATTCAATACCATTATATCGGCCGCCTTTTGTAGAGACTCTTGCTTCTCGCGTTCACCACTACTGCTGTTAGCTGCCGTTTTTAGCATGTTGCGAATTATAGCACGTTTAACGGCTACGGGGTGAGCGGATTGAGCATGTAAAATTATATTCTTATTACTTTCTTTGCGATACCATTTGGTGCACACCGAGCCATTTACAAAAGTCAACTGCGTATTCAAGAAGGCCAACCAACCGTTTCGAGGTTCCTCTCTTGTTAGCCTTATGTACTCCGACTGCTGATTGAGTATCTGAAAGCATTCGTCCATTTCGGACTGTGTCGTTGTCACAATGCAGCAGTCGTCTATATAACGACAGTACATAAGTGGGTTTCTGAGTAGCACCGGGTGTTCTATTTTGCTCATGAAGCAAATTGCTAAAACGGGTGCTAATCGTTGGCCCATCGCTAAACCTCTCACTTGCGCGTAGTACCGTCCCGACCACTTAAATATATTGCAATTCAAACATTCCTTGATTAGTGTCATGATGCGTGCCTTACTAAGACCATACGTCGACATAGATGTGATATGTGAATCTAACATCTCGGATAGTGCTTGTAAGGCATTTTCATTGGATACATTTGTATACAATGATTTTACATCAAATGACTCGAACACGCAGTCTTGATTGAAGTTCGTATGTCGCAGAAGATCAAGGAAGTGGTTGGTGTTAGTCAGGTGAGCCGGTATTCTGTTCAGCAATTGACTTACAATTTTATTGAGGAACCAGGAAATGCGGTCTGTCGGGCCGTTGGTGCAGCTGATAATGGGTCTTATTTTGTATGACTCAGCGGTCATTGAATGCATATCCGCCAAAGAAAGTTTGTGCGTTTTGACCAAGCTATAGAACACAGGGCATGATGGCGTTTCTATCTTGAGCCGACTAAGGAATTTCTCGTGCAAACCCGCTTCTTTGCCTACTAGCGTCCAAACATGGTTCAGCCGCTTGCCTTGTAAAAGAAATTCTTTCTCACTAGCGGTTCTGTAGACGGTCGTATCGGACAGGTGCAGTTCGGTAATTTCACGATCAAGGGTTTGCGGCATGACGACGAACTCTCCACCTTTGTCACTGACTGAAAGGCGGATGGTGCCGTTCGACGTCAGTTCTCTCATTTCTTTGAAACCTTGCTGTTGCGCGCGGGTTAGATTGAATGTTTTGATATTTTTGCTTTCGTTAAGAACATTCAAAATTCCTAATGATAACATTCGAAATTTGGTATCTGCAACAATGCAAGGTTCCGGTTCCCTGTAAAAGGACGACGGAAATGGTATAGTTGGCAAAATTCTTCTACTAATGTTATCAGAGGGTTGTGCTTGACTATCATGCTTTAGCTTGACTCTGAGCTGATCTCTCAGCCGCTGTAATGAGCCCAAAACACTGCGGTAAGTGTATGCATTGATGTTTTGTGTAGGTGCGAAGGAAGGTCCTAAGCTCAGAAAATCGATGGCATCAGATGAGATCTGAGCGTTACCTAGTATCGTGACCCTAGCCGTTCTTTCGTTTTGTATGGGATTGTCTGTTGCACTATTGACCTGGTTGACAACTGGTGGTCCTTCATCACTGCCAAGACTTTGCTTACCTTTACTCAAGAGTCTTTCGAACTTTTCACAAAGCGAAAATTTGATATTAGACCGCAAAGAGTCGCAAATCCGCTTTGACTCTCTTTCAATCCTCTTCCATTCGATATCACACAATAAGCGTCTACAAGAATGTTCCTTAGCTTCACACTTCAGAAGACTGGAGTATAACAAGCGTTGCTTTTCCTTGATCACTATCTTGAGGATGTTCATGTATAGTCCACGCACTCTTGGGTGATCTTCTGATAAGCCGCATGTTGTTCCCAGTTTCTTATTCGTGATAAATCGAGGAAACGTTTTGTTCGACATGCATCGTTTGAGGAAGGTAAGCTGTTGGCGAGTGACCACAACCTTTTGGCGAAGTGCTAGTGCTTCGCGGACTAGTAAGGACAAGTTCGGCTTTATATTGGAAATTATGTTATAAGTCCTTCTATCTTGAAACCTGGGCATGCTACAGACAGTCTCAGTCTTTTTCTTTGCCGTACAGGTTTGTTATGGTAGTACCTTTATTGCCTTACGTTTCGGCTACACGCCGTCTTCAGAGGCCTGAAAGGAGTCAGTCACATTGATGTTCGCTCTTGGCCGCCAAACACCTCCTCTCACTCGCATATTCGATTCGTCCAGGGTAGAGAAAGCAGGTCTGGCGGTTGACTCGTACTCACCAGTGTACTACCGATACTGCAGTGTGCAACCGACTTGGGCGAGCTCGTTCGACTGTGGTGACAAACAAATGAGCAGTGTGCATGGCACCAAACTGCTTATATATACTCGAACAATCTACAGCTCGCAAAACGGAAGATACGGCATGAGATCAGCGGTTATAGATAACTGTTCGTTCTTGCTGTTCATTTTTGGATCGCGTGCAACAATGAACGATGCTTCCAGAGCCTTTCGCGCAGAAATTTGGTTTTCAAAGGCTAATATCGTGCACCTTATATTGAAATCAACACCGCCGTGCTCTATTTTCCTATGCTTCCCTAGTGGGCTGATCATGCTTTGTTTCCTTTTACTGGCCAGGTGTTCATTTATACGTACGCTCAATGGTCGGCCGCTCTCTCCAATGTAACTGGCGGAGCACTCTAAACAGTGGATCTCGTAGACGACACCACACTTTGTACAATCTCCAATATTTCCGTAAGGGCAGATCACGCAATCCTGTGAGTTACAAGATTTGTCATATAGTCTATTGCGGACCAATTGTGTTTTGATATTGTCTCGAGGGATATTCACTAAAATAACGTCATTCTCGAGACCTGCTCGTATTAGGCACCGCTTGATCGCCACAGAGACCTTTTCGGAGATGAAGGGTAGGCATAGGGGTAC